AATGCTACAAAATTGATCTGTAATGGGAAATACTGTAATGTCACAAAGCATTATTTATATGCTTAATGTAACTCAGAGCATTAATTGCTAGGAGCCAAAATCTGTCCAAGCAAAACATGAACACACATCTCGTACCTCTTGTCTCTTACTATAGGTTTTTGAATGAATTCGAGTGTAACAAAAAAAAAAAAAAAAAGGAGTTAGAAAATCAGCAACACCTGAAGGTTTTCTTCACCTTCTTGGATTATTGTAGTTGTTTCTTGTTAGCAAAGGCATGAATCCTATCTGCTCAGAAGTGCCCAGCAAACAACAGCGACGTGGCTACTTGTTAGCCGCCCAACGAAAACATCTTGTGGAGTTAAGTGGTGGATGGCTGACTGTATGTTTTTAAAAGTCTATCTAGACTGATTTTGCCACCTTTATAAAAATCTGGCTTCCAAGTACATGCAGCTAAAATCTGGCTCTCTCTAGGGTCTTAAAACGAGTTTATAGTGCTAGAATTTACCCCCTAAAAGCCAATGAGCACTGTAACGTTCACTGTTTTGGCTCATGCTAAAGTATTAAAAACTTGGATTTTTAAGTGGAAAGACTGTGCCATCAGTACTTAAAATGCTTGTGATTTATGTGAACTTGGCGCTCTTTGCACAGAATCCATCTGTACTGTCAATTCTGGTCAGTTCCGAGTCCGAGGCTAGCTAAACGTATTGTAGATATAACACATCCCACCATCCTGTGTGTCTTCCGTACCTCTATCACTTTTAAAGTAGAAATTGGGCGCACTTGGGTGGCAAATTCAGTTGTGTCTGCCTTCGGCTCAGGTCATGGTCCTAGGGTCCTGGGATTGAGCCCCTCATTGGGCTCCCTCTCTCACTGCAGCTCTCCCTGCTTGTGTGCTCTCTCTCTCTCAAATAAGTAAATAAAATCTTAAAAGACAGAAAGGAAGAAAAAAAAAAACAGTGTGCAACTCCCACTGAAGCACAGGAAAGAAAATGAATGTAATTACTTTCCTATCTTGGAGGTGCTTGGGTAGCGGGAGCACATGGCATTTCTTTTCTTTTACACTAACAGGCACAAACCAGCCACTATTCCCAAGTTCCTGCACACATTTCTCTGAGGCTGGTACCCATTGGGAAGAGGAAGAAGCTGTGCTGTGGGAGCAAACAACTCCACCATCTCAGGGGTCTAAAGCAACAGAGTCCCGTCCACAACAGCTATGGTTGGGGGGTGTGAGCATCAAACATAGGCAAGCAAATGTGTTTGCACCCCCAACAATGCCCAACGTCAAATAGCATCCTCCTAATTAGAAATGGCAGGGCCAGGATACAAATCAGGTTCATCTGATGGGGGACCCCCACCCTCATAATTACCCCACTATGTTGCCCCCAATTAAAGAGCCTTTTGGCGAATCCACTGTTAATATTGCTGCCATTTTAAACACTGGTGATCATGCATGGTGAAATTTGAAAATTCAGGACCATTGGGATGAGATGCAGAGTTGGTGGCATGGAAAGATGGGTCCAAAGGCCTGGCTGGATTGAGTTTTCGCTCTGCTACAGAAGTTTTGTAGGTAAACAAACAACTCAATAGGTCACCTTCCTCCTGAATCCCTATTGTAACGTGGACAATAATAATAATACTCAGCCCTCAGAGTAGTCACAAATACGCATGACACAATGCACATGCAAGAACCACAAGGACTGAAAAGTGACACACGCAGAAAAGATTTTTTTCTTTTTTTAATTATTTTTTATTGGAGTTCAATTTGCCAACATATAGCATATCACCCAGTGCTCATCCCATCAAGTGCCCCCCTAAGTGTTCATCACCCAGGCACCCCTACCCCCCGCCCACCTCCCCTTCCACCACCCCTTGTTCGTTTCCCAGAGTTAGGAGTCTCTCATGTTCTATCTCCCTTTCTGATATTTCCCACTCATTTTCTCTCCTTTCCCCTTTATTCCCTTTCACTATTTTTTATATTCCCCAAATGAATGAGACCATATAATGTTTGTCCTTCTCCGATTGACTTACTTCACTCAGCATAATACCCTCCAGTTCCATCCACGTCGAAGCAAATGGTGGGTATTCATCGTTTCTAATGGCTGAGGAATATTCCATTGTATACATAGACCACATCTCCTTCATCCATTCATCTTTCGATGGACACCGAGGCTCCTTCCACAGTTTGGCTATTGTGGACATGGCTGCTAGAAACATCGGGGTGCAGGTGTCCCAGTGTTTCATTGCATCTGAATCTTTGGGGCAAATCCCCAGCAGTGCAATGCTGGGTCGTAGGGCAGATCTATTTTTAACTCTTTGAGGAAACTCCACACAGTTTTCCAGAGTGGCTGCACCAGTTCACATTCCCACCAACAGTGTAAGAGGGTTCCCTTTTCTCCACATCCTCTCCAACATTTGTGGTTTCCTGCCTTGTTAATTTTCCCCATTCTCACTGGTGTGAGGTGGTATCTCATTGTGGTTTGGATTTGTATTTCCCTGATGGCAAGAGATGCAGAGCATTTTCTCATGTGCATGTTGGCCATGTCTATGTCTTCCTCTGTGAGATTTCTCTTCATGTCTTTTGCCCATTTCATGACTGGATTGTTTGTTTCTTTGCTGTTGAGTTTAATAAGTTCTTTATAGATCTTGGATACTAGTCCTTTATCTGATACGTCATTAGCAAATATCTTCTCCCATTCTGTAGTTTGTCCTTTAGTTTTGTTGACTGTTTCTTTTGCTGTGCAGAAGCTTTTTATCTTGATGAAGTCCCAATAGTTCATTTTTGCTTTTGTTTCCCTTCCCATCATAGATGTATCTTGCAAGAAGTTGCTGTGGCCAAGTTCAAAAAGGGGTGTTGCTTGTGTTCTCCTCTAGGATTTGGATGGATTCTTGTCTCACATTTAGATCTTTCATCCATTTTTAGTTTATCTTTGTGTCTGGTGTAAGAGAATGGTCTAGTTTCATTCTTCTGCATGTGGATGTCCAATTTTCCCAGCACCATTTACTGAAGAGACTGTCTTTTTTCCAGTGGATAGTCTTTCCTGCTTTGTCGAATATTAGTTGATCATAGAGTTGAGGGCCCATTTCTGGGTTCTCTATTCTGTTCCATTGATCTATGTGTCTTTTTTTGTGCCAGTACCACACTGTCTTGATGACCATAGCTTTGTAGTACAACCTGAAATCTGAAATTGTGATGCCCCCGGCTCTGGTTTTCTTTTTTAATATTCCCCTGGCTATTCGGGGTCTTTTCTGATTCCACACAAATCTTAAGATGATTTGTTCCAACTCTCTGAAGAAAGTCCATGGTATTTTGATAGGGATTGCATTAAGTGTATAAATTGCCCTGGGTAACATTGACATTTGCACAATATTAATTCTTCCAATCCATGAGCATGGAATATTTTTCCATCTCTTTGTGTCTTCCTCAATTTCTTTCAGAAGTGTTCTGTACTTTTTAGGGTATAGATCCTTTACCTCTTTGGTTAGGTTTATTCCTAGGTATCTTATGCTTTTGGGTGCAATTGTAAATAGGATTGACTCCTTAATTTCCCTTTCTTCAGTTTCATTGTTAGTATATAGAAATGCCACTGATTTCTGGGCATTGATTTTGCATCCTGCCACACTGCCGAATTGCTGTATGAGTTCTAGCAATCTTGGGGTGGAGTCTTTTGGGTTTTCTATATAGAGTATTATGTCATCTGCAAAGAGGGAGAGTTTGACCTCAGGAGTTTTTCTTAAGGCCCTTTCTGAGCAGGTCAAGTGGGAGCCCTCAGGCAGGCCATGCCTATGGATACTGGCTGCTGGTTCATAGTCTTCCCTTCTTGTGCAAAATGTTCTATGCAAGATGGATCTACTACTGGAGGAAACAGACTGCATTAAATGTCAAAGGAATCGCACTCAGCACTGTTTTTTTTTGTTGTTGTTGTTGTTGTTTTTTTATCGTGGTGACAACATTCCCAAAGCCCTGTGTGTATGCAGCAGGGATTCAGAACTTAATTCAAAAGCAGATCAAAAGAGCTCTCTGCAATTTCAAAAACAAAACAAAACAAAACAAAAAACCATCCAGGGCCCCAACTGAAAAAGGTCACATGGGGTCTTGTTTTCAGAGGTGGAAACTGAGGCTCAGAGAGTCAGTTTGTGGTTCTCCCTTTCTCCGGATTCAGGCAAAGTTTAGACTAGAACTCCTTCTCCTACTCTAGCAAGTTCACTTTAAAACCTCTGCGATCTCATCTGAAAAATGGTCACAGTAATCCCTACCTCCGAGAAGAGGAATGGGGATTGATCAAGGAAATGCCCAGAAAGTACTTGACAAAGCCAGTGCTCAGCAAAAGGTAACCATTTTTATTAGTATGCCAAGCAGGGTCCTTACACGGTTCAGCTGCAGACACTACTTATTTGTGCTTACTTTTAGGTTTCTGTCCATGGCAGGAGTGAGTAAGCGAAGTGGATCAGAAAACTGTCAGAGGGTTGCTTGTTTTAAATACATGAAAGAAAGGTATTGTTGTTGTCGTTGTTTTTTTTTTATGCTCTCATCTTTAAAAAAAAAAAAATAGAGGTCGCATCGTTATTACCAGTAAGAAGCTGAGCAGATTTAACCAGTCCTATCAGATGGGTGGTGATCCCAACCCAGGGACGTGTGTGGCCGTGCTGCCAGGATATTATCCATAAAGGTGCACGCAAGAGAGCACACCCGGGAGACTGAGAATCAGATGGACTCCCCAGCTGGAGGACTCTGGGCCGATTGTTTCGACTCTGCAAACCTCCTTTTCCTCTTCTGAAAAAGGCCATAAGAGTACTACCTGCCCCACCGGGTGTCTGGGGGAGACTGTGTAAAGCACTCTGCCTCTGGCCGTACACAAACAGACGCTTGATCAGTGGAACCAGATGACTGTTTACAAAAACTTTTAAGGAACTGACAGTCATTTTGAGGGTTAAAAGGTATGCCAAGGAAATCTAAAGAAAGCATTTTAGAAGATAAGCAGAATTTTATTTTCTGATGAGCAAACTTCACGGATGATTCACACAGAAGCTGCACTCATTAGCCTCAGAAGGCCCTTCCTGAAGTCTTCTGGAAGGCCCATTGGTTTGCTGGTGGCTGGATTTACAAAGACATGGACTGAAGACCCAGTGGCACAGGCTAGAGATTCAAAATGGGCCAGCTTGGGGTGGCCAAAGAAAAAGCCATCACTGAGGTCCCAATGATTGACAGAAGGCAGCTCCTTGGTGGCCTTAGGTGGGAACAGAGCCAGGCGGTAATGCACGCTGGAGTGACCCATTTTCTCCACAGCCAAAGCAGCCACTGGGACCTGAGGAAAGCCGATGGGTTTGTGGAAGGTACACTGATTGGTCACCATGAACCCTACCATGGGAGATGTCAGCAAGCTGGTTTTCAGGCCGCAGTATCTGGAAGGTTGAATGACAATGCTTATTCCAGGCTCCTGTGACCTTCTCTCCCAGCCCAAGAATATGTTTCAGAGTAAAGGGCTCTAGCCTCAGAGGGCCACCATTCACTAGCTGAGTTACCTGGGCAAATTATTTCACTACTTTGTATCACAATTTATACAACAGAATGTTCATAACCATAACACCTACCCCAGGGGCTAGCAGTAGAAATCAGTGACGCACGTCACTTAACACAGTGAGCATTGTCCTACACGAACAGTTTCTAGATATATAAGCGCTCATCAAACATGGGCTATTATTAGTATTATCAATTCCATCTTATCCTTCTTCTTATTGCGAATAGCTAAGGAACTTTGGCATCAAATTGAGAGAGAAAACTCACTTATACAGATGTTTACCGTGTCTCTTATCTGTGCTATTAGATTATCATTTCTTTAAAGGACAGTGGCTGTGTCTTATTTATTTTTTAAGTCAGTTGACTAGAAATGAGGTTGCCTTGAGATAAATTTGGAAGTTGAACAGGATCAGAAATAAAAGCATAATGCTGAATGACAGTCTCCCCACCACTGCTACCTGTAAGACCCACTTACGACCTAAACATTTTCAATGCACTGCCTTACTGTTTTCTTTTCTTGAGAAAATAAACTATGAATGTGGGAATTCATTGTAAGGGAACAATCAGGGGCTGCAGAAAGGTTTGACTACCAAGTCGTTCAGTGAATCACTGTTCACAGAAAAGCCACCAGTCTGCACCCAGGGAGGGCACGGCAAATACCTGCGGCCAGCCACCCCAGGCACCTGCCGATGTCGCCCATGGTGACATTAGATAATGTTCCTTTGCTGACATCGAAAACTGTTCAGAGGGACACCTGGGTGGCTCAGTGGTTGAGCACCTGCCTTAGGCCCAGGGTGTGATCCTGGAGACCCGGGATCGAGTCCCACGTCAGGCTCCCTGCATGGAGCCTGCTTCTCCCTCTGCCTGTGTCTCTGCCTCTCTCTGTGTGTCTCTCGTGAATAAATAAATAAAATCTTAAAAAAAAAAGGAAAGCTGTTCAGTGAGAAAAATCAGGTTACAGAATGGTATGTACCATCTGATCTCATGTGTCATATAAGACATGTTGATTGATGTACTTATTGCCTAGAAAACATTTTGAAATTTGAAAGGATAGACTCTAAAAAACGTTTTCAGTAGTCATCTAGCAGTGGAGTTTTTGGCTAACTTTTTTCTTCTTTTTGCTTGTATGAATTTTCCAGAATGAACACGATTTGCTTTTGAAATAAGAAAAAAAAAGTTATTTTTAAAAATGTCTGAATACGAATTTTATTTTTAAAAAAACCACCGGAGTAGGATGCCTGGGTGGCTCAGTGGTTGAGAATCTGCCTTGAGCTCAGGTCGTGGTCCTGGGGTCCTGTGATTGAGTCCTGCATCGGGCTCCCTACAGGGAACCTGCTTCTCCCCTTGTCTATGTCTCTGCCTCTCTCTGTGTGCCTCTCTTTCATGAATAAATTAAAAAAAATAAATTTAAAAATAAAAAAATAAAAAAGCACTGGAGTGATGAGTAGCCTAGAAAAGCAAAACTCCTTCTGTCCATTAGGTCCCGCCCCTGGCTACCCTCACTTAGGAGGCTTCCCCAGGAATACCGGAGAGGGAGAAGGGAAACAAGGAAAGAAAAGCCTTGACTCCAAGATCTAGTGAGAATCCAATTCTTGCATTTTCATTCCCATGCTTCTTTGTTCCTATTGCTTTCCTGTTTCTCTGCCACTGGTTTTCCCATTCTTTTAGGACACTGACAGTAAAGAAATAATGCCTCTTCCCACAGGGAGAGGAGTATTTCATGAGCTCCTTGTATCTCTGAGCCGAACCATTGTACCCTTAAATAACTGAAATGCAGAGGTACTTGCAACAGTCTCATCTATGGGCACCTGGTCGCCAGGGTTGTGCCAGGTGCTTTACATTTTATATTTAATCTTCCAAACAACCCTGCAAGGCAGGTCTCATTTTCTCTATTTTACAGGGAAAAAAGTCAAGAGGAGAGGTTGAATCAATCTCCCAAAGGCAAGTGCACAGTAAGTAGTGGCTTAGGCCCAAACTTCAGGCTCTCAAGGGTCAAAGTTCCCACTTTCTCCTCCATTCTGCTTCTAGCCCAAATCTCCATTTTAGTCCAGCAGATGAACTGCATGTTAAGTTCTATGCCTTTAAGGATTACATTTTCCTTAAGTGTTGCAAGTCAGTGTTATTGTGTTTGGACAATAGACCTCCTACTGGCAAATTCATAATCCAATCTGATTTCCCTGGTGGTAACAACAGGGTACTTGGTGTGAAATTTATCTATTGTTTCTTTTCTTTCTTTTTTTTTTTTAAAGATTTGAATTTTTATCAGACTTTATATACATGTACATACTCTGAAGAGTTAAGTCATTGCTCAAGGTGTGTTACAAAAAAATAGTAGTTCTCTGACTGGTTACGTTATGGGTTATAATCTAGGTCAAGACGTTCTTAGAATGACCTCCACAGCACACTTACTCTTTGTGAGATACTGAGGGCACAGCACTGAGTAAGAGAATTCCTGCTCTCGTAAATTCTCAATTTTAGGAGATTGAGGTTGGGGTGCAATGTGTGCGCTCTTGTCCTCCCTTTGGAAAGAAGGAGTGGCTAGTTGCCTTCCTTTCTGGTTCCTCTTCCATGCTTCCCTTCATTGTTTTCTCTCCTTTTTTTTAGGACACTTCGTGCACTACTTTGTTCCATACATGTGCTAGACATAGAAGAGAGAGCAAGGAACAACCTAGAGAGTGACTATTCCTGCCCTCGTGTAGCCTTTCTTGGTCTAGAGAGCATGCCATCATGTTGCCATGTGATGAATGCTATGCCAGGGAAGGCACAGGGGCTCTGCAAGCTTGTAGCAGGAGGCCTGACTCGATCTTGGGTATCAGGGAAGACTTTCTGAGGAAGTAAGAGCTAAGTGGAACATAAAGAAAATGTCACAGCTATTGAAATGAATAGTAAGGGGAAGAGTCCTACAGGAGGAGGAACAGCATATGTAATGGCCCAGCAGCCAGAGATAGTAGGGCACATCCCAGGGATAACACAAGTCCCAGATGACTGGAACACAGACTGCCAGAGGAGGCTGGGGAGAAGGCAGGAGCCAGACCGGGGAGCATCTTGTTGGGAATCTATCCTGGGCCAACAGAAAGCCAGTAAATGGGCTGTATGCAAGGCTGAGGCAAGATCAAGTTTGTTTAATGAGCATTGTGGCTTTGAACTGAGCAATGGGTTAGAAACAATAATGTCCCCAGGAGAATAATCCAGCAACTACCACAGTCCTGGCAAAGGCAGTAGTGGCATGGGCTAGGATAGTGACAGTGAGTCAGAGAAAATGGAATGGAACCAAAAGAGATTTTGCACAAGGTCTGATGTCAAGTCAGACTGAAGGAGACAAAAGGGCCCAAAAGGGCCCTAGATGAAGGGCCTGCTTTCTGGTGATTTCATTTGTGGAAAGAGGGAACGTGGAGAGACCGGGGGTGAAGGTGAGGAAAGTCCTGGGCTCTGTTTTGAACACTAGGATAAACTGAGGTGCCCACAAGACAAGAGGAGGTGCACAGTAAGGATAATAATATCACTAATGTTTACCCTGCCCTGTCCAATGTGCCAGGTCTTCCATTAAATACACAACTGGATTCTGTCCCCAAGAGACCTGTGGGTATATGGGCCCAATGCTCAGAGAGAGGTCGGTGCTGGACACAGGAGTAAAGACACTGCATTAAATCTAAAATTGGGGTCTAGGCAGGTAATGTAAAGGATTGAAGCTGGATGTGTGTGTCACACTCGGGTGTGGTGGGCTCGTGGTGAGCCAGAAAGTAAATACCCAGTCTGACCCTACATGAAATAGGCTTTAAAAAATACTGGGCAGACTAAATAAAACTTGTGTGTGGCTAGCCTAGGTTTGTCTTTGTGGCCCCCAGTTTGTGACCTCTGGGAGAGATGGTAATTAAGCCATGAGCGGGAGGGGTTGCCCAGGAGAGACTGGAGAAGGGTGTGAACTCACATGAAAAACTGGCTTTGGGTAAGCTCCCAGTTGGCTATTTCTTGGGGTGCAGCAAGTGACTGATAAAGTGTCTGATTCCGATGCCACCCAATCACTGTGTGAGGCAGATGCCTACCATCTGTGCTTTCTTATCACCAACTGGGTAAACTTTAGAACACAGGGATGTTTGGGAAGACCCCTTGTGTTCATCTAGTACAGGGCTCACCAACACTGGTGTGGATCACAATCTCCTAGGGAACCTAGGAAACAACCAGATTCCCAGTATCCCCCTGGACCTCCCAAATCAGTCTGCAAGGGTCTGGGCACCCTGATTTTGACAAGCTTCCAGGGGATTCTGAGGCACACACCTGGCACAGCCGTGGCTTCTCTAGGCCAACCACTTTGGATAAGGAAACAGCTCAGAGAGACAAAGTAAGCTGCTCACCTACGTGCAGCTAGGAAGGAACATGGTCCACCTACACTCTACTCTCACTCTAGCCCTTTCAGCTGGGTCCGTTAACCTTTCACACCCAGACTGACTCCCAGCCCAAGGCTGGGACCAATGGGTCTGTGGATGGGTCATGGCTCAGGAAGAGGTAAGCGATGCTCATGTTCCTACACTGACTCTACCCAACTCCGACAACTGGAGTCGGCGTCACCTCATTCCCCTCTTCCTAAGCTCCTGCCTCATTCCTTGAGTCCATAACTAGGTTCTAGCTTGACCCCCGTGCCAAAGCCCCACACTGGTGTCTCCCCATGCTCTGGGTGCCCCTGGAGCAGATGTGTGCACCATGGTGCTTCTGGGTCTGTATCAGAAGCCCTGCTGCCATCTGAGGTCTGGAGAGAAGCATCTTTCAGATGGTAGGAGGCCAGCGGGCATATGGCACCGGCGCACCTTTCAAAAGGATGAGGCTATTTTTGTCATTCACTATAAATAGCAGAACTGGCTTTAGCTTGTGGTCAGTTACCTGGAATGCC